CACACACACACACACACACACACACACACACACACACACACAGAGTGGAAGTGGTACATTCGTTCGCTTGTTGTGCTCACAACTGGTCAAACCCCCCCAACCAAACCCCCTCCCCTCTCCGGAAGGCACTTTCCCTGTTTACACGTCTGCCTTCCTCCTATCACAGCGAACATTCACACTCTCTCTTCAGCCTGCGTGTTCAATATCGGTGTCTATCGTATGTTGGTTTGGTTAAGTCTTTGGCTGAACAGATTAAGAATTAATTCTGACTGCTAAGCACATGAAACCAGTTGAATTAGCATCGCGAGACTCCATGCTCGTGGACCCGTGTGAGCTGGCGACCCAGTTGCTAGTCTGCATCATCAACCTTGTAGTCTCACGGTTGCGACACATCCTGATGTCTTTCATGAACTGAAAAACAAAAAGAAGGAAGGAAAACGACTTTTGCCAATCCAAACTTCTCAGCACTGGAAATCACTGCTTTGTGCACACCCTAGTTGATTTCCCTTAGTGTTGCTTGGTTGTATACTACTATATATGCACGTTTTTTTCACACCCAATCAGGCTGAACGTGCTTGAGTGTATGACATCAGTGTGGTTATCAGTGGACACTTCCACATTTGAGCTTTGCTCTCATCCATTCCAGATCCACAGCAAAGCATCCCTCTGACGAGACTCAGCTTCGCTTCAAAAACCAATCATGTTCCTCACCCGCGTCTGATTGTGCTAATCAGCAGTCTCAGCAGTTCAAATACTTACACGACCTATGTGTTGGATTTTCAGCGACTGAACTAAGCGACTGCCAAACCCTACTGGAAAAAAGGAGAAAACAACAAGCAATCGAAATTATGAAACGAGAGTCGCAAACGCTAAGCATATTTGCATTGCCCTGACCCACGACTTCCTCGGTCTGTTGTGACCAAGCCAGAGGTGCCTTCGCATGTGGGGCTGCACCAAACACCATGAACACTAAAAATGTTGGGTCATTCAGAGTGCCACACCTGGGAAAAGAGGGGCAAGTGCACAGGAGCAAAGGAAAGCATGGATAGGGGAAGGGAGGGATTTAGGCAGAAGCACATCAGAGGGGGCTGAACCTCTCTGTGTCTTGTGCCTAAGCTGTGTGCAAGAAAAAGGAGCAAGTAGCTGTTCTTTCCAATTGACCAGCCACCACCGTCCCCCCCCCCTCCTCAACGAACTGCTGAATACCAAACTTGCCTCCACCACTCCAAGCAATCACTCAAAACAGCGAAGGAATCTTGGTTGGTAATATCAACCTGTCTCCCTATTGGTGGAATGTTGGTCCATTGAACACCACAACAACCATGGACCATGCATTCACACTTCGACAGATGATGTAATTTTCCCATTAACCTTTAAAGCATTCCTCTGTCACTGAACTTTCTCAAGGTTGATTGAATCAACCGCCTAACATACATTATCTCAACCTCCCAGCTCCAATCCTTGGGATTGCATAACAACAGAAATTGTCTAATTAAACTTACCTGCCAGGTTTCCAGCTCCATCTTCTAAAAGGAATGAAGGGAACTCCAGAAGATGCACACAAATTGCACAGAACACCATGTTTGACAAAGCTCCTGATAATTCAACAAAATTTTCTTTCCAAAGTTGAGAACAATACCTCAAGCGTTGCCGTTCTATCCACTAGCGACTTTGTGAACTCTATGTACAGTCTGCGCTTCCGCCTCTCTCTCTCTCTCTCTCTCTCTCTCTCTCTCTCTCTCTCTCTCTCTCTCTCTCTCTCTCTCTCTC